TATTGAAAGAGAGACAAACATTAAAAACTAAAAAGTCAGGGTAAAGAACAGAAGGGCAGACAAAGTTGCAATAGAAGGGTAGGGACATAACTCAAACAAGACTCTAGCTTGGGTGAGGGCTGGCCTGGATCAAGATGTGTTGAGGGACTGATATTCACGAGGGGCTTGTATTAACTGCGGCGAGTATGGCCACCAGCAGTTTAAGTGTAAGAACGCGAAGGTTTCTCAAAAGATTGCGCCCAAAGGTGGTTTGGGGGAATCTTTCGCCCAGACTGGTGCTTTTACGAGCGCCAACCATGGAAACACATCTGGTCAGTAGAAGTGGTAGCTACTTCTACTCATGCTGAAGTGGTTGGTGTACCTTCACCACTTCAGGAGTTGGCTGAAGCTGTTGACTTTGTAGCCACCCCATAGACACATCTAGACCGAACGACACTATGTTCGTTGGATGTGTCTGAAGCTTTAAAAAACTGAGAGACCGGGTGGTCGGCAAGAGACCCTCGCGAGTTTTGGGTGGCATTGTCCAAAGGTCCTAAAGGGGAGCACTTCATTGTAGAAGTTGGTGTAGGTGGCCGCAAGTGTGGTGCCTTCGTAGACATTGGCTGTACACAAAACTTCAAAAGTTGCGACTGCGCCTAGGGGACCGGGTGCAACGCTTGAGTAGACATGTAGCATCTACTCTAGCCAACAAAGAGCGCATTTTTGTCAAGGACTACGTCAAGGATGTGGTGTCCACCTTCTCTTATGGAGGTGGGGAACTTAATCACCAGATTTTGTTCCTAATTAGCAACGACTTGCCTCTCGACATGTTATTAGGTATGTACTACCTTGAGGTTGCTAGGCCCCAGTTCAACTGGGACCGGAAAATGCTTAAGCATGTGTTAGCTAATGGGAGAACCGTTAGACTAGCTAAGTATAGAGCTAGTAGGTTAGTTGACTCCTATGGGTGTATGTGTGCGAGTGCATTCCATAATTACTACAAACAGAACCAAGAGGAGGCTATGTACTTAGTCTTTGTCTCTGAGAAAGGTTAGGCCGTTAAAGTACCCCCAAAGATAGAGACCGTTGTCGCTAAGTACCCCGATCTGTTTGAGGAGCCTTCGGGAGTCGTAGACAGGGGGATTGTCCAGGCCATAGAGGTCATCCCAAGGAGAAGAACCCCGAAGGGGCCACCAACCATGGATGCCCATGTGGACGTCGACAACATCTTGGAACACAAAGACTCGCTTGTTCCTAAGCCTGCTGTACCGGGTCAGATTCAGGCATCATACAGATCCGAAAGAAGATCGTTGGTTCACACGAGAGCAGCTTGTCAAGACAACTTAGATCGTGGCAGAGTATGAACGAAGACTGAAGGGGAAAGCACCTGCGTAGAAGCATCTCAGCAAACTTTTGAAGCTAAGGGGGATGGAATCTGAGGAATGAACCCTCGCGGGGCCCTTATCAGACATACAAGTGTTCTGGGTTGCGGCCCCTAGAAAGCCTGTGCCCGCCCTAAGTGAAGGTGGGCCTGAATATCCACGAGAGGCCTGTTTTCTACATTTTTCCACATGTGGAGATTCGGACAGTTGCAGCACGCCAGTTGGTTACAGAGCAATGTGAGCCTCCAGGCTCTTTCCAGAAGCAAGGACTGCGCTGTACAGTTGAGCCCACGGGCTCAGGTGGTTGTGCCCTAAGCACACACTGTGTGAGGCCGACTGATACATGCCCAGTTGAGCGATGTACATAATAACCAAGGATCCGCAATGTGATGAAAAGGACTGAATGGACAATGCAGTGCAAGTGAAATCTCAACGAGTAGTGTACACTCTGATACATACAAAATGGTGCTTTACAGCGCAGTGGAAGACTTAGATACAAGTCCTGACCTGACCGGGACTGACCTCTTTCACGTAGTACAAGATAGCGAAGCASAAGGCTAGAATACTAATGACGAGCCCAATCAATGTCGCAATGCAGACTAAACATACATCATTTTCACCACCAGGTGTGAAGGGGCCTGGCGCTATACACAGGAAGAGGCGCCAGGTCCAGCCATGCACAAACGAAGAGGAGGGGATCGGACGAAGAGGAGGGGAGAGATGGGAAAGTCGTCAACACCAAGTCTCGTTACAAGTCCCAAATAATCCCTCGTCAAAATGTCTGAAGTCCAATGTCGAGTCTGGATCCAA